TGCTGAATGAAGCTCAAGTGATTGTTATTTGAAAACTTTTCAAAACCTTGTAAACGAGGTGTTTCTCAAATAGTGATATGCTGGGGAAATGATACCCTTGATGAAATGTGCCTTTGGGTATTGTTTGTACAGAGTAGCAAGCAGCTCCGGGCATATCCAGTTCCTTTTTTTTTTTTTTGAGATGGAGTCTTGTTCTGTTGCCCAGGCTGGAGTACAGTGGTGCAATCTCAGCTCCCTGCAACCTCCACCTCCCAGATTTAAGTGATTTTCCTGCCTCAGCCTCCTGAGTAGCTGGGATTATAGGCACAGGCCTGGCTAATTATGTTTGTATTTTTAGTAGAGACAGGGTTTCATCATGTTAGCAGGACTGGTCTCAAACTCCTGACTGCAGGTGATTTGTCCATTTCAGTCTCCAAAAATGCTGAGATTACAGGTGTGAGCCATTGTGCCCGCCCCTCCGCCCCGCCTTTTTTTGAGACAGGTTCTCACTTTGTCACCCAGGCTGGGGTGCAGTGGCGCAACCACGGCTCATTCACTGCAGTCTCGACCTTCCTGGGCTCAGGTGATCCTCCCACCTCGGCTTCCCAGGTACCTGGGGTCTGTTCATCCACTGAACAGCTTGGGCTGCTTTGGCAGTGCTCTGCTGTCCTCAGAGTGCAGTCAGTGCCGTGGCGTCAGCAGCCTTTACATTCTCAGTGGGCCTGGCCAGAGACTCTGAAGCAAATGGTCAGGCGCTAGGGCTGGAGACCCACTTCTCTGGTTCCCTTAAAGACCCGTTAGTAACGGGACATGCTGGTGAGCAGGGTGGATGCCACCATACCCAGCTATTTTTAATAGAGACGGGGTTTTGCCATGTTGCTCAGCCTGATCTCAAACTCCTAAACTCAAGCGATCCACCCACCTCAGCCTCCCAAAGTTCCGGGATTGCAGGCTTGAGCCACCACACTGGCCTAAATATGTGGAAATTTTTTATGGCAGTGGGGAAGAATGTGGGTGTGGCAGTCACACAGACTTGCAAATTCTTCCACTTACCAACTGGTTATTTAGTAGCTCTAAGCCTCAGTTTCTTCCCATATATCATGGGTGGGAACTAAATGAGACAATTGGATGCCCTGGGTGGTGTATACTGTGCTGGTGTGCCAGAAGGGAAGGAAGTGAGTCTCAGCCCAAGCTGAGATGGGGTGATTTGCTGTCAGGGATGGTAGAAGGCTTTGTCTGAGGGGCCAAATTGCTTAGATCTCTGTCTGTGCCGGTTAAGGTCCTATGGCCTTGGCTGAGGCTGGCCCACCAAGTGCCATGTTCAGTGTTTCCAAGCCAGAGCAAGTATTGCCCTGCTCTGGTTGGTTGTTCAGCGAGGCTTGAATGATCATAGAGGTAGTTCTGGGGTCTGCCAAAATTAAGACAGCTTCTCTTCTCTGAGGCAGTTTATACTGTGATTCTTTTTGATGTCACATAATAGAAATTGCAGGATCCCAGGAGACAGGGACCAGCCAGAAGAGTTTTGCACTTCCTTAATCTCCTGTCATATCAGATGCACCATCTAAGTAGTCCTCCCGCCACTGCGTCTGTCTGCAGCCAAATAATGGCTTCTTTAGTTGTGCAACCCATCCTCACCCCTGGGGTGGTATCTCCCACTTGGTGGTGATGGCAGACACCAGAGCTGTTGCTCAGAACTCAACCAAATCTTTGCAATCCAACCAAGTGACTGTGCCAACAAGGAAGGCTTGCTAACTCCTTTTATTCATTTCTAAGAGCAGAAATTGAGAGCTCATAGGACATCTAATTTCAACTCTCCTACCTGGATGCAGTTTCTTCTCATTCTTTATCAGAAACCAGAAAAATAGGCAAGAGTGATTTCTATTTTATTTTTGCTCTTGTCACCCAGGCTGGAGTGCAATGGCGTGAGTTTGGCTCACCTCAACCTCCACCTCCTGGGTTCCAGCGATTCTCCTGCCTCAGCCTCCCAAATAGCTGGGATTACAGGTGTGTACCACTATGCCCGGCTAATTTTTGTATTTATAGAAGAAACGAAGTTTCACCAGGTAGGCCAGTTGGTCTTTAACTCCTGACCTCAGGTGATCCACCTACCTCGGCCTCCCAAAGTGCTAGGATTACACGTGTGAGCCACCATGCCTGGCCAAGAGTGATTTCTAAACAAATAGTGATTTTAAGCAGAGTTTATGTACCTATGTTATTTCTCTTTGTTGCTGATAGGTACCCTTCTCTAGGAAGTGGAGCTTAGATCTTTGTATGTCACTTACAAGCAATAGATTTTGGTCTCAATCTGTTCGTTCCTCCTGTTTTTCATGAGCTGTGCTTTCTGGGTAATATTTTTCTCCCTGGCTACTTTCAAGATCTTGTTTTTAGTGTATACCATTCTCAATACGATGTGTGCAAATGTGGATTTTGTTTTCTATATGTTTTGCGTAGGATTTGCTGTGATTTCAAAATCTAAGGATTCGTATCTTTCACAAATCCTGGAAGATTCTCAGCCAGACCGTTTATCCGATACTGTTTCCTGCAGTCTGGATTTTGTTGATTGCATCACCTACGGTGTGGTTTAATATGTTCCTCTGTCCCTTATAGTTCCTATAATTTGGTAGTTAAATTTAGAGGCTCAATCTGACTAAGTTTGATTTTTTTGCAAGACTATAGTACTGGGGATATTGTGAACTTCACTGGGAAGCATATGATGTCTCTCTTTATGTGTTAGTAACAGCCATTGGTGATCATTGTTTAGATCCTTCATTTTGTTAGGGTTTGTCTAGTGGTGATATTCCATTCCTTTCATATTCCTTTCTTTTGGGATAGAGTCTTCACTGTGGTTTGCTGGGTCAAAGGGTAAATGCATGTATAATTTTGCCTATTATTGCCAAATTACCCTTTATAGAAGTTATGCCATTTTGCATTCCTGCCAATAATATATAAGAATGCCTGTTAGCCCTTGGAATGGACAACAGAGAGAGTATGTTTTCCAATATTGTATTTCTGCTTATCTAATCATTGAGAAATTGTGTCTTGGTGTGGTTTTCATCTACATTTATCTTATTATAACTGGAGTTCCTATGTCTCCTTCATAGTTCTGATACCTGTCCTTTAGAAGCTGGCAGCATATTCTTAAAAAGATTGGACATAGAGCATAAGGCTACAGGAGAATCCAACGGAATAGGGGATGACAGCTTAGGTGGCTAAGCCTATTAGGCTCCTATTAGGAGCAGAAAGCAGGTCTCCAACTACCAAGACAGCAGATCTACTCATTCCCAATTGTCATTTAGACTCAGCATTGCATTACCCATCTTTTCCCTTGATCTTTACATGTAATGTTAAATAATCCGACATGTTATTGTGTGTTATGCAGAGCTCTCAGAAAGGTATAAAAAGGCTCCTTCCCAGGATGGAGCAGTTATCTCGGGCTCCAGTTGCACAGGTAGTCATGGAGCGGGTTTGCCTGCAGGGAGCAGCAAACCCTTCCAGCCACATGCTCAGGGTCCAGAGCAACTCGTCCGCTTAGCAGGAGTGTGATTGTTTTGTTTCCAACTGAACTAGAGATGTCACAGGAAGAGAAGATTCTTTTTAATAATCCTTAGCACAAAAGTTCTTTTTAAAATAGTCACAAAATTCTGGAGGTGTGTTCTCCAAGATTGATAGAATTTGGCACCGAGAGGTCATATCACAAAGATCCCAAAACTTCCAGGAAATCTTCTGTTGATGGAGACACCCAGGGTTGATCCCATGAGATTTTATTTCTGAATTTCAAACTGAAAGATGCTCTTGCTGGCATTGGTCAAGGGCGACTGTGTGAGTAAAATTATTATATTATTATTATCAATAAATATTTATTGAGAACTTACTATGCACAGAGTGCATGGGTATCTGTGTAGCCCATTGATTATCTTATTATTTATTTATTTGTTGGTTTTTTTGAGATGGAGTTTAGCTCTCGTTACCCAGGATGGAGTGCAATGGTGCAACCTCTGCCTCCCAGGTTTAAGCTATTTTCCTGCCTCAGCCTCCCAAGTAGCTGGGATTACAGGCATGCGCCACCACACTCACCTAATTTTGTATTTTTAGAGACGGGGTTTCTCCATCTTGGTCAGGCTGGTCTCAAACTCCTGACCTCAGGAGATCCGCCCACTTTGGCCTCCCAAAGTGCTGGGATTATAGGCATGAGCCAATAACCGTGCCCGACCAATGATCTTATTTTTTATTTTTGAGACAGAGTTTCAATCTTGTTGCCTGGGCTGGAGTGCAATGGCTCGATCTGATCTTGGCTTATTGCAACCTCTGCTTCCCAGGTTCAAGTGATTCCCCTGCCTCAGCCTTCCAAATATCTGGGATTACAAGCATGCGCCACCATGCCCAGCTCATTTTGTAGTTTTAGTAGAGACAGGGTTTTATCATGTTGGTCAGGCTGGTTTTGAACTCTTGACCTCAGTTGATCCACTTCCCTTGGCCTCCCTAAATGCTGGGACTACAGGTGTGAGCCACCATGCCTGGCTGATGCTCTTATTGACAATAGAAAGATGATGAGAGATGATGGGGAGAGAGATTTTTAAGGAACACTGGGTTTCCTTTAGCAGGAAGGTATTAGGTATTAGGTACTTTATATAATATATATATAATGTATAATAAAACATATTGTATTAGGTATTATAAATAATCTGGGGATGATTTAAGGTATATAGGAGGATCTGCATAGGTCATATGCAAATACTAGATCATTTTATATCATGACTTGAGCATTTGAGGATTTTAGTATATGTAGGAGGCTCTGGAACCAATACCTCACAGATACAGAACTTCACATGCAGAATGGTTACACATATGCCTTCCTGTTTTCCTCTTCATAGATTCTGTAACTAGGGAAGACCACCTGGTTAGTTTATTGGTCACTAATCATCTTAGAATTCCTCATAGAGGGTTTCTCCTGCTTAGCTGTGATTAGGACCCAAGTTTTGATGCATATTGAAAAAGTGTACTATATTGACTTTTTCTTCTAGGTTTTGCTCCCCGTGGAATGGCCTTACTGTTCAAATTCAGATGCATTTGGCAAGTTCAGAAGACAAGAGTGAAGATGAGAAGCCATTGGCCTCATGTGGAGTGTGAGTCTTTCTCTAGCTCCCCACTGCACACGCAAGCTTGCTTTCCATCCATATGACATGGTCCAGAAGTTCTCCTGTATATTCATCAGCTTGGGCTACCACAGGACAAAAGACTTAGCAGCTGAGTAACAGAAATGTACTTTCTCATAGTTCTAGGGTCTGGATCAGGTGCAGCGTGGTCAGGTTCTGGTGAGGACTCTCTTCCTGTATTGCAGACAGCTGCCTTCCTACTGTGCGCTTGCATGGCCTTTCCTCAGGATGCACATGCAGAGAGAGAGAGAGCTCCAGTATCTCTTCTTCTTTTTTTGGATGGGCACCACTTCTGTTGGATTAGGGCTCCACTTTTACAACCTCATTTAACTTTAGTCCTTAAAGCCCCCGTCTCCAGTATAGTTGCATGTGGGATTAGGGCGTCAACATATGAATTTAGGGAGAAGGAAGACAATGCAGTCCCTATTTGACAGAAATCTCAGGGTTCTAGAAAACATTTCATGCTTGAAAATTGTTGCCAGAAATATTTGAAATTGAGCAAGTGGAATTTAAAGGGAAAGACTTTGCCTTTAGATTCTAAGCTCCAGGAGGGCAGGGACTGTGCTTCAGTATTTCAGCACAGAGCACAGCAGCAGGCCCTGATAAACGTGAATTCAGGAAAGGCAGCCCTTCCTGAAGATAGAAGCTCACTAGTTTGTGGAACTCTTACTGTGTCACCTTCATTTGGCTCCTGTTAGGAATCCAGAGAGAGGGTAAAAGGGTTCCTGTCACCCCTGAAGATTGACTAGCCTAGAATTTTCCAGGTTTCCAGAATTTTCCATTTTCTGCTGTCCCTTCCCTGTTCTGGTTCTGTTTCTGAGGACACAGCTGCCAGCTTTCAGCTCGATGCTCTATTTGAACCATCCTGAGAGACATAAAATTTTCCACTCAGGATCTAGTAAAATAAAAACTTTTAAACAAAATACACACCACACACACACACACACACACACACACACACACATACATGCACACAAGAACAGTTAGTTTAAAAAGCAGCCTACAAAAATCTCTTGTTCTCATGAGGATTTCTGCCATCATGGGTAATTTTTTTTAGCAGTTTTGTTCTGGGGCTTCTCTGCTTTTCTCTTTTCTGGGTTTTATATTTCAGATCCAGTTGTAGTTTGCTGCTGAGTTAAAGCCTCTGTAATTATTTCTTTAATTGTTTTTTATTGCATTTTAGGTTTTGGGGTACATGTGAAGAACATGCAAGATAGTTGCATAGGTACACACATGGCTGTGTGACTTGCTGCCTTCCTCCTCTTCACCCATATCTGGCATTTCTCCCCATGCTCTCTCTCCCCAACTACCCCCCCCCACTGTCCTTCCCCTATTCCTCCCAATAGACCCCAGTGTGTAGTGCTTCCCTCCCTGTGTCCATGTGTTCTCATTGTTCATCACCCACCTATGAGTGAGAACATGCGATATTTCATTTTCTGTTCTTGTGTCAGTTTGCTGAGAATGATGTTCTCCAGGTTCATCCATGTCCCTACAAAGGACACGAACTCATCATTTTTGATGGCTGCATAATATTCCATGGTGTATATGTGCCACATTTTCCCAGTCCATTCTATTGTCGATGGGCATTTGGGTTGGTTCCAGGTCTTTGCTATTGTAAACAGTGCTGCAATGAACATTCATGTGCATGTGTCCTTATAGTAGAACGATTTATAGTCCTTTGGATATATACCCAGTAATGGGATTGCTGGGTCAAATGGAATTTCTATTTCTTTTTTTTTTTTTTTTTTGAGATGAAGTTTTGCTCTTGTTACCCAGGCTGGAGTACAATGGCACTATCTCAGCTCACCGCAACCTCCGCCTCCTGGGTTCAGGCATTTCTCCTGCCTCAGCCTCCTGAGTAGCTGGGATTACAGGCACGCGCCACCGTGCCCAGCTAATTTTTTGTATTTTTAGTAGAGACGGGGTTTCACCATGTTGACCAGGATGGTCTCGATCTCTTGACCTCGTGATCCACCCGCCTCGGCCTCCCAAAGTGCTGGGATTACAGGTGTGAGCCACCGCACCCGGCCTGGAATTTCTATTTCTAGGTCTTTGAGGAATTGCCACACTGTCTTCCACAATGATTGAACTAATTTACACTCCCACCAGCAGTGTAAAAGTGTTCCTCTTTCTCCATATCCTTTCCAGCATCTGCTGTCTCCAGATTTTTTAATGATCACCATTCTAACTGGCATAAGATGGTATCTCAATGTAGTTTTGATTTGCATTTCTCTGATGACCAGTCAGTGATATGAGCATTTTTTTCATGTTTGTTGGCCTCATGTATGTCTTCTTTTGTAAAGTGTCTGTTCATATCCTTCACCCATTTTTGAATGGGCTTGTTTGTTTTTTTCTTGTAAATCTGTTTGAGTTCTTTGTAAATTCTGGATATCAGCCCTTTGTCAGATGGGTAAACTGCAAAAATTTTTCCCCATTCTGTTGGTTGCCGATTCACTCTAATGACTGTTTCTTTTGCCATGCAGAAGCCATGGAGTTTGATTAGGTCCCATTTGTCTATTTTGGCTTTTGTTGCCAATGCTTTTGGTGTTTTGGTATGAAGTCCTTGCCTACGCCTATGTCCTGAATGGTTTTGCCTAGATTATCTTCTAGGGTTTTCATGGTGTTAGGTCTTATGTTTAAGTCTTTAATCCATCTGGAGTTAATTTTAGTGTAAGGTGTCAGGAAGTGGTCCAGTTTCTGCTTTCTGCACATGGCTAGCCAGTTTTCCCAATACCATTTATTAAACAGAGAATCCTTTCCCCATTGTTTGTTTTTGTCAGGTTTATCCAAGATTGTATGGTTGCAGATATGTTGTGTTGCCTCCAATGCCTCTGTTCTGTTCCATTGGTCAATATCTCTGTTTTGGTACCAGTACCATGCTGTTTTCATTACTGTAGCCTTGTAGTATAGTTTGAAGTTTGGTAGTGTGATACCCCCCACTGTGTTCTTTTTACTTAGAATTGACTTGGCTATGTGGGCTCTCTTTTGGTTCCATATGAAGTTTAAGGTGGTTTTTTTCCAGTTCTGTGAAGAAGGTCATTGGTAGCTTGTTGGAGATAGCATTGAATCTGTAAATTACTTTGGGCAGTATGACCATTTTCATGATATTGATTCTTCCTAACCATGAACATGGAATGTTTCTACATCTGTTTGTGTCCTCTCTTATTTTGTTGAGCAGTGGTTTGTAGTTCTCCTTGAAGAGGTCCTTTACGTTCCTTGTTTGTTGTATCCCTAGGTATTTTATACTTTTTGTAACAATTGTGAATGACAGTTCATTCTTGATTTGGCTCTCTTTAAGTCTGTTATTGGTGTATAGGAATGCTTGTGATTTTTGCACATTGATTTTGTATCCTGAGACTTTGCTGAAGTTGCTTATCAGTTTCAGGAGTTTTTGGGCTGAGATGATGGGGTCTTCTAGATATACTATCATGTCATCTGCAAATAGAGACAATTTGGCTTCCTCCTTTCCTATTTATATACCCTTTATTTCTTTTTCTTGCCTGATTGCTCTGGCTAGAACTTCCAGTACTATATTGAATAGAAGTGGTGAGAGAGGGCATCCTTGTCTAGTGCCAAATTTCAAAGGGAATGCTTCCAGTTTTTGCCCATTCAGTATGATATTGGCTGTTGGTTTGTGGTAAATAGCTTTTATTATTTTGAGTTACATTTCATCAATCCCAAGTTTATTGAGGGTTTTTAGCATAAGGGCTATTGAATTTTGTCAAAGGCCTTCTCTGCGTCAATTAAGATAATTATGTGGTTTTTGTTTTTGGTTTTTGGTTCTGTTTATGTGGTGAATTATGTTTATAGACTTGTGTATGTTGAACCAGCCTTGCATCCCTGGGATGAAACCTACTTGATCATGGTGGATAAGCTTTTTGATGTGCTGTTGCACTCGGCTTGCCAGTATTTTATTGAAGATTTTTGCATCTATGTTCATCATGGATATTGGCCTGAAGTGTTATTTTCTTGTTGAGTCTCTGCCGGGTTTTGGTATCAGGATGATGTTGGTCTCATAAAATGATTTGCGAAGGATTCCCTCTTTTTGGATTATTTGGAATAGTTTCAGAAGGAATGGTACCAGCTTCTCTTTGTGTGTCTGGTAGAATTTGGCTGTGAACCCATCTGGACCTGGGCTTTTGTTTGTGTGGTAGGCTCTTAATTGCTGCCTCAACTTCAGATTTTGTTATTGGTCTATTCATTGTTTTGACTTCTTCCTGGTTTAGGCTTGGGAGGACACAAGTGTCCAGAAATTTATCCATTTCTTCCAGGTTTACTAGTTTATGTGCATAGAGTTGTTTGTAATATTCTCTGATGATGGTTTAAATTTCTGTGGAATCTGTGGTAATTTCCCCTTTATCGTTTTTTATTGCACCTATTTGGTTATTCTCTATTTTCTTTTTTATTAATCTGGCTAGTGGTCTGTCTATTTTGTTGATCTTTTCAAAAAAACCAGCTCTTGGATTTATTGATTTTTTGGAGGGTTTTTCGTGTCTCAATCTCCTTCAGTTCAGCTCTGATCTTAGTTATTTCTTGTCTTCTGCTGGGTTTTGAGTTTTTTTGATCTTGCTCCTCTAGCTCTTTCAATTTTGACGATAGGGTGTCAATTTTGGATCTCTCCACTCTTCTCATGTGGGTACTTATTGCTATACATTTTCCTCTAGAGACTGCTTTAAATGTGTCCCAGAGATTCTGGTATGTTGTGTCTTCGTTCTCGTTGGTTTCGAAGAACTTCTTTGTTTCTGCCTTCATTTCATTGTTTATGCAGTCAACATTCAAGAGCCAGTTGTTCAGTTCCCATGAAGCTGTGTGGTTCTGAGTTAATTTCTGAATTCTGAGTTCTAACTTGATTGCACTGTGGTCTGAGAGACTATTATGATTTCAATTGTTTTGCATTTGCTGAAGAGTGATTTACTTCCAATTATGTGGTCAATTTTAGAGTAGTTGTGATGTGGTGCTGAAAAGAATGTATATTCTGTGGATTTGGGGTGGAGAGTTCTGTAAATGTCTATCAGGTTTGCTTGTTCCAGGTCTGAGTTCAAGTCCTGGATAGCCTTGTTAATTTTCTGTCTGGTTAATCGGTCTAATATTGACAGTGGAGTGTTAAAGTTTCCCACTATTATTGTGTGGGAGTCTGAGTCTCTTTGTAAGTCATTAAGAACTTGCCTTATATATCGGGGTGCTCCTATATTGGGTCCATATATATTTAGGATTGTTAGCTCTTCTTGTTGTATTGATCATTTTACCATTATGTAATGTCCTTCTTTGTCTCTTTTGATCTTTGTTGCTTTAAAGTCTATTTTATCACAGACGAGAATTGCAACTCCTGCTTTTTTTTTGCTCTCCATTTGCTTGGTAAATCTTCCTCCATCCCTTTATTTTGAGCCTTTGTGTATCCTTGCATGTGAGATGGGTTTCCTGGATATAGCACACCGATGGGTTTTGGCTTTTTATCCAATTTGCCAGTCTGTGTCTTTTGATTGGTGCATTTAGGCCATTTACATTTAGGGTTAATATTGTTATGTGTGAATTTGATACTGCCATTTTGATGCTAGCTGGCTGTTTTGCCCATTAGTTGATGCAGATTCTTCATTTTGTTGATGCTCTTTAGCATTCGGTATGTTTTTGGAGTGGCTGGTACTGGTTGTTCCTTTCTATGTGTAGTGCCTCTTTCAGGAGCTCTTGTAAAGCAGGCCTGGTGGTGACAAAATCTCTGAGTACTTGCTTGTTTGCAAAAGATTTTATTTTTCCTTCACTTATGAAGCTCAGTTTGGCTGGATATGAAATTCTGGGTTGAAAGTTCTTTTCTTTAAGGATGTTGAATATTGGCCCCCACTCTCTTCTGGCTTGTAGAGTTTCTGCTGAGAGATCTGCTGTGAGTCTGATGGGCTTCCCTTTGCGGGTGACCTGACCTTTCTCTCTGGCTGCCCTTAGCATTTTCTCCTTCATTTCAACCCTGGTGAATCTGAAGATTATGTGCCTTGGGGTTGCTCTTCTTGAGGAATATGTTTGTGGTGTTGTCTGTATTTCCTGGACTTGAATATTGGCCTGCCTTGCTAGGTTGAG